AATGATCAATTTTTTTTTATTAATAACTCTCTTTCTCGCCCAATAAAACATTTTTTCTTACAACAACTGATAGAGCAATCAAGATCTTTTCAAACAGTTCTTTGGCACGCTTTTTTAGACTGTAGTTATCAGAAATTCTAATTTTGAGAGCTTGCGGTTTTTATTTTACATGAAGCAAGGTAGATAGACCATCCAGTTTGATCTCAAACACCGTATTAAAAAACTATGTAGCAAACTCTGCTCAGTGTGACTGGCTGTGAGCAGGAATAAAACTGAATTAAACACAATTAGTTTCGTAGCATCAATTTACAATTTCTGACAGAATTAAAAAATTATTATTTAACCAGTTTAGAAGTTCTCGGCTGTCACAGAGTTCAATAAAAGAACTTCGCAAGATTAAACACTTGTTTCACTATAGGTATTTACCGAAAAACCCACTAACTGTTTTTTTTTGCAGATTATGAGAAATTTTGTCAATATATACCTGAACCCCTAATAATTTTGAACCGCTGACTACGTATAACTTCAAACAAACAAAACCAATTTTGTTTGTTTGAAATGAAAACCCGGGTTGACCTCCGTTCACCGAAATTGCTTATCATACAATTCCATACAACAAAAATCAATATCATACAAATCCATACATCAAGTGTATGGAGAAAATGCTTGTCATACAATTTTCATACATTTTCGAAAAACAAAATAAAAAAAGTTTAAACCATTTCTGCGGCTTTTTGAGAACAATTGAACAGACCGGTGACAAAAAAAAACTGATTTTAATTATCTTTTTGAAACAAATGCTTTCCATACAATTTTCATATATGGAAATTGTATGAATGGCATTTTGTGACGGCGACAAAAAAATTTTGAAATTTGCCCCAAATTTTTTTTTTGTATTTTTTCAACCGCATATTGAATATTGTATGCAAACAAACTTTTTCCGAAAAATTTTTTTTGCATGCAACATTTTATTTTGTGTGTGCATAACGTAGTCCTGGATACGATAAAATTGGCCTTTTTTTTCTTTTAACTTAAATTTTTTTTTTCAAAAACGCCGAAAATTTCCTATTTCTTTTGTATGGCGTGTGTATGTATGCCATGATCAATGTCTAATAATTTGAAAATTCAAAAACTAAAAATAATCATCACAAGAAAATTTTGCCAAAAATTGAAAGTTTGTTACTTTTGTTATATCATTTGTTAAAGACATCTGGAAGACAATTCAGGTCGTTTTTGATGCATTGTACAAGTAAGACCGTCCAACCTTTGGTGCTTTGAGTAACCAAGGTCTTTGTCACTTGTGTTCGGTTGCAAACAAAACCCAAATATTTTCAGAAAACAATTTAAGAAACAAAAAACAATTTTTTAGTTTATGGAAATAACACCTATTATACAATTTCCATTTAAGGAAAAATGTTTAATATAGAGTTTTCATACAGTTTTCTGTACGTAGGGAATTGTATGAAATTGTATGAAAAAAAAATTTCCAATTTATGAGAATTGTATGACAAGCATTTTTGGTCAACCGTGGAACATTATAAACACAATTTAATAATTTCTTTAAAGTGGAAAATTTGTTTAAAGCTTATAGAAAATTCTACGATGAAGGAAGGTTTTGTAGGATGACCACTCGGGAGCACTAAATTTTGGATGGACACAAGTCGCGCTTGTGGGACAGAACTGAGTCTTTGCAATTGGTTCTGGTTCTTTGCGCATATTTCTCTCAGAGGTGCTCTCGAAATACGATCTTGCTCCTGAATCGGCGCAGTTACACTTGTAAACGGCTTTTGGTTGAGTGTAGATGGAGCACTGGACACTGCCCTTATAACTGTCGTCTCGACCATTGTTTCGTCTGTTGGCATTGTTTTTATTCTGCAATAAATTAAGAAATAAAAAATCACGGTGCCATGATATGGCTTTTTTCAGTAATCATTAAAAATAGCAGAAACAAAACTATTTCACGTAAAATTTTTTCAAATCAGAAACCAAGCTGATGGAATCTGCAAATTTTGCTCAAAAGTTGTTTTGGTGAGAATGATAAACTTATTACAAAAAAAATCAAGACAACAATTTTTGCAACAGAAAGTTGGCTGAGAAGTTTTAAGAAACTATGGGATAAAAGTTATTAGCAATATACACAATATTTTTTTAATGAAATATAGATTTCGTGAGTTTTTGCTTTTCAATTTACAATGCTTGCTCAGATGTACCCTCCAGGTTTTTTTTACATTGGAACTCACGGCTTTAGCAGACCTCGTTGAGTGTCCCTAATTAGCATAAACCATAGAGTAAGTGTTGGCTGAAATATCATAGCAACACTGAATCAGCGATGAAACATAGTTGACTTTTAGCAAACGAATATAATATTTTTGTTTGAAAAACAATTTTCTACCGTCACTACCGCGTTATTTTTACAAAAATTTTGTTTTTAGGCTGAGCGAAGACCGATTGAACGCAATTTCAAGATTCAGCGACTTAGTGATGGAAGTTGATTTCTAGGAAAAATTTCATAACATGACCCAAAATACAATCGAGATAACGAATTGAAAAAATGACTGCCAGAGCTTTTCAAATCCACTGCTCAAGGAGTTCAAATTTTGATGCGACTGAAAACATTTTGCTAATTGGCACCAAACTCCAAACTGGCGCAACAACCTGGTGCAACAAAAACCAAATTGGCGCGACTGAATAAAGAATGGCGCAAAGGAAAAAGTCAAACTTTTTGACAAGCGCAACAACGAAACTCCGTTGCAACCAGTGCACTTATCAAAAACCATCACAACAGGGACTTATGGCATCGGTAGGATGAACACAGCAGCTTGAAAAACTTTGGGTTACTTGAAAAACCGTTTCAACTGGTACAAATGATTACGGTCGACGAATATTTTGTTCGCGAATGGAAAAATTTGCCTGACGACCGTCGCAAATAATAACAACTCAGACGCCATCTACTTTGATCACAAACTGTTTATGTTTCGGCAAACACAAGTTACGCAACTGAATTATGACTGGGGTCTGTACTCATAGA